GTTCGTCTGCTCCATGCGCTTCCCCATCTTACCGTAGAAGCGCTTGACTTCTTCCTGGAGTGGTTCAATAATTCTCATAGGGAAATGAACGGCTTCCTGAAGTAGCCATTTCACCTACCGTAACGTTATTTTTGTTAGCCCAGACCATGATCATCCTCTTTTGTTCAGCTATGGACAATTTTTCATTGAAGAGGATTTTATAGTAGCGCTCTCGAGCCTTACGGCTAACATCTTTCAGAAATGACGGATGATGAAGCTCCTCCAAGGGGAAGAAGAGGTGGGCGGCTGTGACGGCAATGAAGAGTAAAATGAGAAGTTTCATTCTGAAAACATCGTTCTCACTAACTTTTACTGAAGCGCAAAAGAAATTAGAAGTTAGGAGGTGAATAACCATGAAATGTATTCAAGAAGAGGAGTCAACGAACAGATGTTGTGTCTTCACACCGTCTCCCTGCCTTATATTCAGAATTTTGGCGTTGATCTCTGACAGTAGGGTCGATTCAGCTGGGTATGTGCAAATATATGAACAATAATTCATCAGATGCTTTTGAGAAAATGGCTCTTTCTAGCTGAGCCTTTACACCTGCTCTCTCATAAAACAGTCACGTTTTTTGGTTGTTGAACGATACTGCTTTCTCTTTTCTTCCAGAGTGGGGCTAGACAGTAAATATATGGCTTTTATTGGGGTGACGTCAATTCTTCTGCTAATTTTTACTTGCAGGCGCATTCGCTTCTTTACTGTTGGGAAACCATAGGTTTCCAACGTCTTCTGCGACATTTTGACTTCTATTTGAACATTATAGCAGTTGTTTTGTCAGATGTCCGAGAGAATCTCGAGTTCATGGATAGTTGTCGTGATGAGGTGCCCTCACTTCCCCATGGCCAATGCGACATCCACTGCCTATAGCACACCTCGAAAACACAAGAGAGGTATTGGCTCATAGTTGGAAGGGTTTAACGGGTGATCGTATAGTCTGGATTGTCAAAAGAAAAGGCGGGTAGAGATGCGAGCTGAGTTTCCCTGACAATGTAATGCGTTGAATTTGATTCAAGTCCACTGTCGGCCCCTTGTCGCCTAAGCATTGAGTTACACTTCGCTGCACGGGTTGAGCTCTCGTCTTTCGTGAGGTATCTAGTGGTGTGCATAGTCATAGCCAGAGTTGATCCTTCTTTTCTGGAGAACTGAAATTCTCGTGGTAATGAGGACCCAATCTACGTATTCCTTCCCTTAGGGGCTCGACTACACTTGGACTCCTCTTTCAAATTCCATGAAATTCTGTGAAGCCTTTCCTTTTGTCCCTTATATCGTTCCGAATCAACGAATTCTTATTTTTACATATGCAAGCTTTGCTTTAGCATTTTGCAAATTCTGAAGGAATTTTTTCGGAGCTTCTTTTACAACTGATTACCATGGTTCGTTGAACCCTTTGGTTGCTTCTATCATAAGACATAAATATACCAGACCTTACTTTTGTCGATCATGGTTGGCTGGAAATCTTCTTCTCCTTGGTTTGAATCCCACGCCGTCGCAAGGTCCACAGTGCGACGAGCTGGAAATGGGCTTTCAAAATCAAGAAGAGTATACCGGTAAAGAGGAGAAGTCTGGAGAAAAAAGGAGCAATACACTGTGCTTTGGCTTCAGCTTCTCAGCCTAGCTCTTTATTGTGCTCGTTGGCACTTTGTAGCCGGACACTCTGCTCCAAAATGCTATTTGTTTCTGGAATGCCCCATGAAGTAGTAGATCTCGCCATACATTCGAGAAATCTATTCCTCGAAAACACAATATTTCTTTTATCCGCTGTCATTGTACTCCTTGGTGCCCCATCTTGATGGAAAGGTGGCACAGCGTATGAAAATTTTGTCACAACTAACAGATAACATGATCCCCAGGTGGCCGATTAGACAGCTTCGTCCTTTGTTACCTTCAGAATTTTTTTTCAGTCTGATGCCCTATCAGATATTGTATTCTCCTTTGGTGTGTCAAAGAGATCTCCTTCTTGTGAGAAATGTCTTCATCTTTTGGGTCTTCTGTTGTTATTCTCCAGGTGAAGTTTACTGCAATGAATCTTCCCTTCGTACAACCTAGCCATTAAGTTATACTCACACTTCGTTCTTATTTCACTGCCCCTTTTTTTCTTGCTCCTATTTTTTTCTACATTCAGTTTTGGGAGGATTTCGTAGTCCGGAGCTTCCACAGCATGATTAGAGAATCAATCACTGACGGAAATCACTTATATTCCAATAAGGTCCACCAACAATACAAACAGGAATGAACTTTGGGGGGGAATTATGAGTGCTGTCTTGTACATGAGTTTGTCAGGCAGCTCACATTGGTGTGCACTTTTTATTCAGTGTCTAGTTTCGAGTAGAGTACCAACAACCCCATTTTCCGTCACTACTACACAGAAAGTGAATTGAGGGAGGAAGGAAGAGAATAGGAGATTCCTTTTTGTGGATGAAACCCAAGACGAAGGTAGTCTTCAGTCGTTTTCACTCCATTGGATCCTGTTCGTTCCTAGTAGTTTTTAGTTTCGTTTTGCTCTTCTTAACCATTGATTTCTTGTTTTGCTTACGTTTATTGTTTACACAATTGAGAACGGTAACTACAGACAACCTCACCAACAGTAATAATAACGTTGTTCAAAAGAGTACCCATGCCTCCTACCTAAGGTTTTCCTTCCAGCAGTCACTCCATCGGTCTCATTTCTTTCGTCAGAGAAACCGTCCGGCGTTCTGGGAGATTCGAACCTAAGAAGCTTATCATAGCGACAAGATGTGTTGCATACGCGAGGGAACGATATTTCTGCCACTATTGCTGAAATCATCCCATGGCTTATGGATCAGTAGATGCCGGCCTGACCATCTCTACTCGGCCATCCAGGCAAGCCTCATTCACCAGAAGTGATCCGTTTGTCATTGCTTATGGCACTCATTCGTGAACAACTCTTGGAGGTTTATTCTTCATCTTCCTCCCTATATGTTAAACCTGTAACTCGATCCATGGGTGCGATAGCCACTTGCCACTACAATACTTCCACTCATTTGCCGCTTACCAATTACAGTAGCGACAGCAGCACACAGCAAGATAAGAAAAGCTTTCTGTATCCATAAGTTAATCCTTGGCTTCTTATTCTTCATTTCACCCACTTGAATAGTCGTGCCGGGTTATCCGACCCTATTTTCCCCTTGTGCTCCCGTGGGTAGTTCCTCATTTCATGCATTGTGGCATCCAGGGCCTTCACGCCTACATATTTGTAGCATCCAGCAAGACAAGGCCATTGCTAACCCATTCGATACATTAGTTGCTGAAGTCTCTTTGAAATGCTTCTTGTGTCTCATCAAGTGCTGCTTTCAGAAATTTCCTCATGGGCTTGTCTTAACTGGGCTTTCAAAACGCATCCAACTTCAATGGGAGTAGAACTGATGATTCTGCAGCTCGATACTTCCACATCTTTTCATTTCCACACGCATCATCTTGTATGCCGCTAGAGATTGACCGTGTTTCTCTCCTACTAACTATCCTCACAGTCTGATAATGGTCTCGGCTGTTTCGGGTTTTCGACCCACCCAGCTCTTTCAAAGCATTTGGTCGCAAGCGACCGAAGCGGCTGAGACCTTATTCCAGTAGTGTATTTGTTTTTTTTCTGAAGATCTTTAGGCCGTTGGAAAGATCCCTTGAAGGATCTGATTCCGTCGAAATCACCGCCTTTGAAGTTCTTGGAGCTTCCTGTGCCCTTAGCTTCTTCTCCGAAACTACAAGCCTTTCATATAAGTCTGTTTCAGTTGTAGTTGCTCGGTAACCGACTTTTGAAAGTTTTTATTTTCGTAAAGAGACGGCATACATTGGTCAGTGGGATAGCAAAAAGATGACTTTCGCGCCGCCTCATTGATAAAACACTGAAATAGTTAGAGAATAAGTTGGAGTAGAAATAATGGGTAAACATCGAAGCAAAAAAATTGGGTACCTTCATTTTCTTGGACCAAATGGACCGTTCTTCGGCATATCTCCGTAATCCGTTGAAGGCACGAAGCCGTCGAAGTGTTCATGATGCCATCCTCCTTTGTTCCACTGATCTTCTCGGTCGAATGGAGAAGGTCCGTGCTCTGGCTCACTGTTCCACCAACCTCCAAAAGGGCCATCGACAGGGTTTTTGTGCCAAGGCATTTCCCATGGTTTCCCCCAATGGTGGAACCATGGCCTGTGACCGCCAAATGAGAAAGGTCCTCCATGCGCCCATGGACGGGGTTCGTGTGGACCATGTGGACCATGTTCATGCACGACTTCTTTCATAGCAGAACTGAGTACATGGAACACCTAAAATGTGCAACTTCGGAAGTTTCAAGAGAGTAAAGCCACCTGGGCAGGTACAGCAATAATTTAGCCCTTACCGATGGGTGTTCGGACTTCAGTTTTTCCATGGCCAACATCATCTGTGGCATCGTCTGGTTCTCGTTCTTCATTATTGCAGTGAGGTTCTTAAGCGCCATTGGTAAGGCGCCAATCAGCTTGGCTACTTTACCGTTCGTCTCCTCCATGCGCTTCCCCATCTTACCGTAGAAGCTCTTGACTTCTTCCTGGAAAGGTCCAAAAATTCTTATAACGAACTGATCAGCTTCCTGTCATAGCCATTTCACCTACCGTAACGTTATTTTTCTTAGCCCAGACCATGATCATGCCCCTTTGCTCAGCTATTGACAACTTTTCGTTTAAGAGGATTTTATAGTAGCGCTCTCGAGCCTTACGGCTAACATCATTTAGAAATGGCGGGCGGTGAAGCTCTTCCAAGGGGAAGAAGTGGTGGGCTGCCGTGACGGTGATGAAGAGAGAAATGAGAAGTTTCATTCTGAAAACATGTTCCCTCAATAATATTCCCCAGTCACAGAGTGAAAGAGAAGGTCGAAGATGAGTAACCATGAACTATGCTTGGGAAATATAACTTCATTGGGGAAGACAAGGAAAGGATGCTGAGTCTGTCGGCCATCTACCTTATATTCTGGATTTCGGCGTTGTTCTATGACAGAAAGGTCGATTCAGCTGATGATGTGTAAATATCAATCAGATGCTTTTGAAAGAGCGTCCTTTCTAGCTGGAACATTGCACCTGCTCGCTCAAAACTGTCCATTTGAACATACTGCTTCCTGCTTTTTTCCAAAGTTGGGCTAGACAGTAAATATGCTTTTACTGAAGTGACGTCAATTCTTCTGAGAATTCTCATTTGCAGAAACACGGTTTTCTTTGTTGTTGAGACTCCCTAGGGCTCTTACGTCTGATGTGGCATTTTCACTTCTATTTGAACACTACGGCAACTCCTCCTTCGTGATTTTTGCTTTGAGAGGATCTCGAGTTCATGGTAAGTTGTAGGATTGAGCTCCTGATGGCGAAAGCGACGCGCATAGTTTATAGCAGATCCAAGAGGACAGGAGGTGTAAAGACAAGAGCAATGGCGTGGGAGCGATTTTCAGTATAGCCTGGAATGCTGTTCAAAATATGGGTAGTACAGATGGATCCCAAGTTTCCCACACAGTGTCATGGGTTGAATTCAGTTCAAGTTCAGTGTTAGCCCATCAGCGCCGAGGCATTAATGTACGCTTTGGGTCACAAATCAAATTGTCGCAATATAGGTGGGTGGAAGTGGTTTGTTGCCGTTTACATATCGGTTGCTTTTCCTGGATTGGAGGCGGATGGAAAGAGGGATGCGTCGTAAGAAAATTCCGTAATGTTGGAGAGTAGACCAACTGGATACCAGCTAGGTGGGGAAATCGAGCTGGGTAGAGAGGGCACTAAGGTGCATGATCTTTTGCAAAATGCTTCAACTGTTCAAAAGAGTCTTTTGATTATTTATTATTTGTTTATTTGAATTGCACTATTGGTGCGCCCAAACAAACCACAAAAGTGTTAGTACAACATGAGGCAACAGAAGAAAGGAATGAACAATATGTAGACAATACTTGCTAAAAAAAACGAAGCAATAGTAGCAGTACCGTAATGATAACCAGGAGGCAACATTCCCTTAGCTCAGGGACCCTGAGCTGAGTTGAGAAAATATCCTTTCACTCCCCTTTTCCTGTACTCGTACAAATATTTAACACATCCAACTGATATCCTAACCTAACTTTAAATTTTTTCATGTTTTCAAGCATCGGCTGAGCTCACAGCTTTAGACAATCTTGAGGCATCGTGGTCCAGAAATCATTCACTCCCACCTACAGTTTTAAGAGAAATTAAAAACTAATGTGAGGGCAATGTAAAAGGCGCGGTCGCCAGTGGGTTAATCATTACCAGAGATCGTTTCGGGTAATTTCTACGACCTTTGCATTTTGAAATGCTAATGACGACTGTTTTTTCGAAATCTCTAATTTTTGGAAGTTGTTCAATACCTTTACACCTGCAAAATTGAAAGATCCCCTAGGACCACGCCGTATGTGGTTTCATTTAAGCCTGTTGTAATGTTTTGAGAAGAAGGATTGAAAGAAAGTAGAAACTTAGAGTTAAGCAATGGAATTAAGCAAAAAATACAACTGCAGTCCACATGTGGACTGCATTGTCGTCAATGGGTTAAACTACGTTATCCCTTGAAGTTTTGAACTCTTTCTTGTTCTCTTGAGACGAAGTTTATTGAAATAATTTTTTCCTTTCGTTTAATTCAATCGTCGGTCTGTATTCTAATTGTTCTTTTCTCTTTCATTCTACTACTTACCTACTTAGTTGCTCGGGTTTCGATCTCTTTTCGTAATCCCTTTCTTTCTTGCTTCTTACTCTATCACTTCTTAATTGTAGGCATATTTCCTAGTTGGGAGCTTTCGCATACATGTTAGATGACCAATCCCTGGATGAAATCACTTCCAGGTCAATAAAGCTCTTGATCAATCTAAAACAAAAGTAATCTGTAAGAGAACGAAGGCAGATAGTGAATCTATGGGGAAAGGAGAGATGTGGGAGTTTCGTGCTTCGGGTAAGACATTTGATGCGAAGGTAATCCCAGATGCCTTCGATATGTTGGATTCAACTCATAAACAGCATCATTAATTTTGTTTTATTTATGCTTACTACTTATTCATGTCAGAAAAGTAATTATTGACATCGTTATTATCAATAATTTCAACTTTTGAATGTTGAGAGTTGATTGTCACTAGAGATCGGTAAGGTGGCTTCTGTAATGCCGAACCCTGGTTACTAGAAGTAGAACCGTTGCAACGGCTGGCACAGTAATACGCGAAATACAAAAAAATTTATCCGATATGCGGACAACAAAAAAAAAGAATTAAAAGCGATAAACAACCAATTAAAGAACAACGAACAACAATTACAAAAAAAGATAGGATCACTGTGATGCGCGGGGTCCAGTCCAGGCGATTTGGTCCTCGGGCCAAGTGGGGAGAGGCGCAGTTAGGGCGGGGGGCTCCTTCGCGTTCCGCAGACGAGAATACAAAAATGCTCCTCGCCCTCTTTATATACTAATACTTCCCGCCGAAACTGCGCCTCTTCGGCGGTCGATCACTCCCTGACCTATCACGGGTTCGACCTCCATCATGCCACACTTCCAGTCTATTCTCTCAGAAAAAACCTCCTGTGCCCAAATCTTCCACCGAAAAAAGCAGGTGGTATTTTTCCGTCAGAAGAAGCTTATGACAGTCATCAAATATGTCACTATTACATGGCGATATTCCTGTGATTGTTGAGCTTATGGATCAATAGGTGCTGCTCAGATCACCTCTACCTAGCCATCCAGGCAAATCTCATTCATCAGAACTCGCTCGTTTTGCCATCGGTTATGGCAGTCACCCTTAAGAATCTCTTGAAGGTTTTCCCGTTCTGTCTGCTTACACATTGACCTTAGTTAAGGTTCAGAAGGCTGAGAGTAAGTAGAAATGCCATTTCATGGGTTTAGATTTTCGACCGTATCTCACCTCTGACCCACCGCGTCGATCGCATGGCTTTGGTGATGGCATCAAATCATAGCTGCATACTTTCCATCACCAACGTTGCTGTGCATTGATATTGTCTCCACTTGTATCAGTTTCCTTTGATGATTTCTTGTAGAACTTAGGCTTCCTGTTTGATTCCTGCTTAGCAGAAGTTGACCACGAACCTCTCTTTTCGAAATTTCGAACTTCGTACCTTTAACTCTTCTGTTTCTGCAATTTTGTTCCACTTTGAACTCGTGTTTCTTCGGAAGCGGCATCGCAGCAACAGAAGGTTTCAGCCTTCCCTGGTTCTATTGCAGGATCTAAAAGATCTTTTCTAGTTACCATTGCTCGGTCTAGGGTGAGGTCTTTCACTTTCAAAACAATTTTGCTTCCCTGAGTTGTCCATTACTCAGGAAATTTTATTGAGATTTGCTTGAAGCCTCTCTGAAGCTATGTCTTTTGTCACACCGTACACTACTTTCAGAAGTTTCCTCATAAGCGTGTTTCAACTGAGTTTTTAAAGTAACTGAATTCGTTGAGAGCAGAGCCTCGCCTCTACATACCTACCCTTATAGCCTGAAAACGGTCTAGGGGATTACGTGGCTTCGGCCTACGTTCTTCAAAACTTTGGGCTACAAGTGCATGAAGGCTTCATTCGAGTAATGACATTTTTCGGAAGATCTCTTTTCCTTGCTTTGATCACTTCCAATTGTGCCTTGCTGCATCCAATATTCATAATTCATATCTTGGAAACCACTACCTTCGGGCTAGTGGAAGTACCTCTGTGCCCACAACTTTTACAGGAGGCTCTGGACATCCATAAGCTTTTCATTCCATTGTAATTGCTTAATAATCGAATTTGAAGGTGTTTATTTTTACAAAGAGACAGCATTGCTCAATGGAACAACTATTTTCACAAAGAGACAGCATTGCTCAATGGAACAACGGCCTAATGGTACAATGGAGGATGTTGATTCTCGCGCCGCCTCATTAATGAACTTCTGAAATAGTTCGAGAATAAATTGGAGACTGCAAAAATGGTGAGTAAACGTGAAAGCAAAAAGTTGATACCTACATTTTCTTAGGCCAAATGAGTCGCCCCACGGCATTCCTCTGAAACCCTTTAAAGGCATGGAACCATCGAAAGGCTCATTATGCCATCCTCCTTTGCTCCAACGATCTTCTCGGTCGAATGAAGAAGGTCCGCGTCCTGGCTCACTGTCCCACCACCCACCAAAAGGACCATCAACCGGACTTCTGTGACTAGGCATTTCCCAAGGCTTCTCCCAATGGCGGAACGATGGCCTATGACCGTCGAATGGAAAAGGTTCTCCATGCGGCCATGGATGGGGTCCCTGTGGACCATGTGGACCATGTTCATGCATGACTTCTTTCATAGCAGACTTCAATACATGGAACGCCTGGAATGTGCAAGCCTCTTAGAAAATTTTCATTGAGCAAAACCTCTGACAGGTACGGCAGTCATTTATTACTCACCGATGGGTGTCCAGCCTTCAATGCTTCCAAGGCCATCATCATCTGAGGCATCGTCTGGTTCTCGTTCTTCATTATTGCAGTGAGGTTCTTAAGAGCCACTGGTAGGGCGTCAATCAGCTTGGCTACTTTGTGGTTCATCTCCTCCATGCGCTTCCCCATCTTACCGTAGAAGCTCTTGACTTCTTCCTGAAAAGGGCCAAAAATTCTAATAACGAACTGATTGGCTTCCTGTCATAGCCATTTCACCTACCGTAACGTTATTTTTCTTAGCCCAGACCATGATCATGTTCCTTTGCTCAGCTATCGACAATGTTTCGTTGAAGAGAATTCTATAGTAGTGCTTTTGAGCCTTCCGGCTAACATCATCCAGGAATGGCGGATGATGAAGCCCTTTCAAGGGCAAGAAGTGGTGGGCCGTTGCGATGGCAATGAAGAGTAAAACGAGTAGTTTCATTCTGAAAACATACTTTTTCAATAATACTTTTGGAGCCACAGAAGTGAGGAGAAGGTCTAAGATGAGTGACCATGAACTGTACTCGGGAAATAGAACTTCTTTGGGGAAGACAACGAAAGGATGCTGAGTCTCTCGTCCATCTGCCTTATATTCTGGATTTTGGCGTTGATCTGTGAC